TAAGGTAATTATTCCAAAGAGGGAAGAAATGCCCCCCCATGCAAGGGGCCCCTGGTGCCCTCCATAGAGTTAATTAAAATACTGATTATAACCCCAGTGGTTTTAGAGCAATGCAACAAAATATTAGGATCATTACAGGCTGTGCCTGTCCTCCTTTTGCTGCCAGGGCTATTGTTTGATTGATGCCGACGCTCATCAGACCCCAGAAAAAATGTTGGTTGATATAGACAGCAGGATGGTGGCAATGGAAGTTGGAATCTGCTAAGGAGTGTATAACAACTCACCTGCCAAATCAACTAGCCCTGAAAATGGATGGCGCTGGAGCGTTGGGCCCACAGTGTACAGGGAAAGCTGGCCGGCCAACTGGAATCTACGTGACCGGGGACTCCCACGATACGAAGCGTGCCACCGGACCAAGGGGAATCTGCAAGAGGTGTTCCAGCAACCTCAACCCGTGCCTTGTCGGGACCCCCGCAGAGGACACAAGATTGGGATATTGACCCAGTAATACCTTGGCTGTGGCCTGTTGTGAGTTCCCCGGCCAGAGCTGTTTCCCAGGTCGAGCAGCTGAAGGGGCTCAAAGTAGCTTTTTTCCTTTTTCAGGATCAGATATGTGATTTTTTGGTGGATTTGTCTGACCAGATCTAAAGAATAAGCAGGGGGTATGTCTGAAAAATGGAGGCTGTGTAGTTTTGATGGGGCCGGGGAATCTAGAAGGATGCATATAAATGACGACGATAGTGAAATGCCGATGATCCCTGATCAGCATCGGTTGACTGATGAACTGAATGATGGACCACTGGCTGAAATGAACCCCTTCATGTTCGCCTTAATAAATGATTTAAATGAAAATCGTACTGGTGAAGTGGTCGAAGCTATGGGATATTTTAATATGGGTGACGCTGTAGGAAATGTAGACGGGCGGTCACCAAATGCACATGTGGCTATGCATGTGGAAATGGCTGACGACCACGTGGCTGGGTCTGGTGTTAGGGGTGACAGCAGACTGGACGCAGATGCTGAAATGCTTGATGCAAGTGGCGGATTGGCCATGCACTCTGAACTGCATCAGATGATTGCAGAACTGAATGGTGAGCATCCAGGTGAATTTAACCCCATCTTACAAAACGTATTACATGATTTAAATTATGATGATGACGAAGTTGCCGCAGCGGAGGTGGATACAGAAATTATGGACGTTGATAATGTGGGACAACAGCAACAAGATGGGGGTGCGGGTGATGGTGATGTTGGAGATGTTAATATAATATGCAGGCCACAGTTTACCAACATGGAAATAAGGCAGCGCTTTCATTTTGATGGAATTGAGCATGATGACATGATAGACATTTACAGGACTGTGATACAGATATTTCAAAATTTGGTGGACAGAGGGAATGCTTTACCGGGGCCTGGGGATATCATACAGGTGTGTAACCCACTCCTGGGTAAGTACACTTCTTCCAGGTTCGAAAGGAGCTACACACAAGTGCAATAACCAGACACTGATTACTTTATGCAGAAAATAATTTGTATTTAGGACAATTTAACAGAAACACACATTTAAATCACAATTAAATAAAATGGGTCCTTTTTCCTTGTAACAACAAAAGAATGTCCTTGTAGTTCAATTTAAAGTAAATTATATGGAGTTTGAAATTGCGTGACTGGTTGTCCAGTTTTTGGGTGCTGGAGTGATCCTACCACTCTTGAGTTCAAGCTCAAATAGTGCTGTGGAATCACGCAGAGCTCAGGTATCCAACTGGGTGGCTCGCCATCTGATTCACCATTATATCTCCTTCTCCAAAAAATCTTTGGGGGTCCTAAAACTTGACCTGCGTTGACAACCAGGTGTTACACTTCTACACATACAAATAATTCCTTGCTCATCTTTTTCCAATATGTTGTACAACATTGAATTCAAATTATTATTCCAACAGCATTTACCAATGTAAATACATCCATATACTGAAAAATACAGATTTCTCAGTGTACAAATATATTAGAACTTTTCCCTTAATATCATCTAAATACAGTTTCCAAAATATATACATTTAATTCACAAACTGATTACCGTAGTAATTAATATAACATTGCAAAACAATAGTACGTCCTAAGCACACACACCTCAAAAGAACATACATTTTCAACAGTAAATTAAAACTTGGAATATTTCTGTAACAGATTTTTTCTATGAATCCTATCCGAACTGCTAGCATAAAGCTAACAAGTTAAGAAATGCGTGCTTACCGAGACAGGGGCACAGGAACACGTACACACACAACAACAAAAGTGTCCGGTACTCCTGGTGAACTTCAAATAACTCGAATTCTTTAAAACTCTCCCTTCCAACTTTGCTATTCTCTTAACAAATATCAATATTCTCTTAACTTTTCTCTGACTCTCTCGCGCTCTCTCGCCCATACGCTATGTAGCGACACGTCAAATTAAAAGAACTTCCGGCTTCCCTCTCGCTCATACGCTATGTAGCGACACGTCAAAATAAAAGAACTTCCGGCTTCCAAAATAAAATGCTTAAGTTTAGAATAACTAATTTATTTTAACCCATCTTATCGGGGTTACAGGTGGAACTGCAGGGTGATTCAGTAACCAATAACACAGATATACATGTTTGAGGCAAGATCGATCTAAATGATCTGCTAAGTCTGATATTTTGCAAAAGAAGCTCAGATGTCTTGTTGTTTCTGAAAACTCTGAAAATAATCTATACTTTGCTTACTGTGTAATCCACCTCTTAACACTAGAACCGCCATTTCCCACGCTAATGGGTGTCACACTCCTCTAACCACCAAGCAAGACGCTCTTCGGCATATGCAGCCCTTTGTTTGTGCTAATGTGCCATTAGTGTTAATAGTATCAGCGAATCTAACACCCGCAACCAAAAAGCCGTAATTCCTGACAGAGTAGCTTCCTTGTCTTGAAATCGTAAACCTGAAACGTGCAACAGAGCTTGTTGTGGGGTCATATTCGATTTGCGGCTGCAGCGGCTTGCCATTTTCTCGCTGATGCTCCGACAAATGTAAAATGCATATGAGAAATCATTGCATGTCTCACTTTTTATATCTTTTTGACATAATGAGACCACCCATACTCAATTGTAATGTGGATAAAAGTGCTAAATTCTTGTGTTAATATGCGGCTTTGATTTTATTACCAGTGAGATTAATTTCACAAGTTTAATTGCCCATCGAAACCAATACTAAAAATATGTGACTCATAATACACGACTGTATTATGAGCTTTACGGCTTTTGTGAGGCGACAGCATCTCTGCTGCTGTGAGGATTACTGACTGTCCCATTGTTTTCTTGATGGGTGAGCAGCATGCTAATGCAATGGCCCATTAACCCCTTGGGACCGGCGATCCCGCCGGCGGGATCTGACAGAAATTTCGCAACACCGTTTAAATAACTCCGCGAGTTTTTGTCATATACACATTTTAAAAATACTCTCAGAAACCTTGGACGGTCTACTTTTCTTTTTTTTTTTTGAAAATGAAGTTTTTATTGGTTTTCTTAAACATAACATACAAGTACAAAAATCCAACAACAGCTAGGTTAATGTACTATTTACAAAACAAAACAAAAAAAAAATAAAAAATCGACACAACAATGGTGATCACTGAGTAATAACCAGAGATAGCACCGTAGAGCACAACAGGTTAGGCAAGTCACAATCTAAACATGGATCTATTATCAGTCATCCTTTGAAACCACAGTCTGAATAAATTTCTCCCATATGTCCACATCTCTATAATTTT